TTTTAAACATTTATCAAATTAACATACATAATCGTATATCAATTAAAACATGTTTAAAAAATACATTTTTATTTAACAAGTTACACCATTATAATCGTCTCGTTAATACCTTCAAAATGAGTCYAATATTGAATAGTTTTTGACTTAATTATATTATTATATATTATATATATTGTGACAAAATATTTTTAATATTTACGATTTATACTTTTATAGTTATTTATTTATATATATACTATATATTTTGGGATTAGGCTGTCCAAATTGCACTGTATAATATGTTTTGAATTAATATGTTCTTGGGTTTTTAAAATATATATATATATATATATACATGTATTAATTCAACCTTAATCTGAGTTTCTGGACAAAAAAGAGGGTAAGCAGTTGAAATTTCATTTTAAACTCCATCTTTTTTTGTCTTTTCATAGCTTATAATCTGTCAAATTTGTAGTTTTCGTTATTGGTTTTGAGTGTTTATTTTAAAACTCAAGTTTATTGGTTCTTTGCTCTTGATGTAAAACGAATACATTTGTGGAGTCGTTTAAATATGTTGTATTTTAAATATATTGGATTTTAAACCGTCATACAATTTTTTTCATCGATAATCTGTAATTGGAACCATAACTCTTATTTATTCAAATTGTATTAATATGTAAATATCAAGTGTAACATATATCATCGTTAAATCTTATCTTATAAAATCAGTGGAACTTCAAAATCGTTAAAATTAATGGCTTCCGCCGCATTGCGCGGGTACACAACTAGTATAACCCTAAGGACCCAGGTTGTTGATTAATTTATGAACCAAGTTCACTAAAAAACTGCAACCAGATGAATCCAGCTCATTAAACAAATGTAACAACACACACACACACACACACATATATATATATATATATATAACTTATTGAAAAACACAAATATAATAACATGCGCAAATGGATTCTCAAAATGAAAGAAATTGTTAAAAAGATCAAGCAGAACAACACCATCTTAGTCCAAAACAATACTTTTTTTATGGGCGTGAGGCAAGACAAGCAGCCTGCTTCGCTTACCTCAATTGTTCAAGGAAGAATATGAAATAATGCTTTTAGGCTTACCTCTACCTTTTTTCACAACAAGAGAACCATGTCCGTATCAGCCGTTTTGCTTCTTATTTAGAAAGGGGCGTTGAAATCCTTTCTACAGCCTCGTGTGTGGCAGCTAATATAGACGAATAAAGGCGGACCGCTTGAATAGGGAATGATCAAACCGTTAAGTCAACAGGTTGAGAAAAAGATTGATTGTCACATATGACATTTCCACATAATGAGATTAGTCCAGGGACTAGACATGTAATATACTCTTATCGTTTTCCTTTTTCGATCTGAATTCAAAAAAATGTATATGACACCGTACGAAACTTTATAAAAAACTATTAAACATTTTATATTTATTTCAGACTCGGTTTTATTTTGCTTAATTTGATTATTTTATTGAGGCCGAAATCAACGAAGTTTTCCTTATTTTTATTTAGTGTAAGTGATTGTGACAAATGTTTAATTATCTGTAATTTGTGTTTGTTTTTACTGATAATCGGTATATTATGTAACAATTATCTATATTTCAAAATGTCAAGTTATGTTATGATTTTTACTACTAGATTAAACGTCAGATCAACAATCGATGTCATATAGACTGAAACTCGTTTATCAGGTAAATGTGTACACAATAAGAATAACCGGATGTTTGTTATATACTAATTACGAAGAAAATCGTTATACAAAATAAGAATCAAGATAAATTTCGTTATATTTTTAATTCAATTTGCTTTTTATAAAAATATTACAAAAAATACTATAGTTTTGCAACAAACACAACCATCCTTAAGCTCTGGTATGCGTGTTGTAACGGTTCATAATTTTTTTTTATTATAGTATTGTACTTTCAGTTTTTTTTATTACAGCAATGTATTTTCAAATTATTTTTTATTATGACATTATACTTTGAAAATTTTACCTATTATAACATTGGGTAATCTTTTGATTTAAATTTACCCGTTATACCAGGTTTTCATGCCACCTTATTGTCCACATGTACTATAATGATGTGACTTTCTTATTACAACATTATACTTTCAAAATTATTTTATTATAACATATATTAGTTCTTATTAAACAATGTACTTTT